CAACAGGTTGTTGTATTGACAGATGTGTACTAGTGATACTGCCTTTGAACCATTTATAGTTCTGATGAACGAAACTTTGAATGAAGGATGCAGCAAAATCAGGTACATTGGTTGGTTCAGGTCAGACACAGAGGTTGAATTAAGAATTTCAAGTAAATTTTCATTTTTTTTTTCAAGTTGGTTGGTGGTAGTGTTTTATTGCTTTTTAAGGTGTTTTATGCTGTAAGGTGAGGTATAGTTGTACATTTGAGAGGGGGGAGGGGTACAGGGTTTCTTTTTTATTTTTCTTGCAGGGTAATTTGTATAATTTTGTTAATCCAGTGCGTCAAGGCGAAAGCAGTATTCTTAATGGGGGTTTTAATTGAGTCTATGAAGTCGGCGTTACTCATAAATGTTAGGAGTCAGAATCGTGTAAAAAAACGGTAATTTTGAGCGTAAGTGTTAGCATTAACTTTCATTTGCCTTTTTGATATTGCGTGACGGATTCGAACTGCGAGTCAGAATATTTTTTTTTAGGAAGTTGGTGATTGTAAGTGGAAATGGAATTGAAAAAAACTGTTTTGGTGAATAACAGTCATGTCTTCCGAAGGGACGTTTGTGCTTTTCAGCTACAAAGTATTTCCGGTAATTGGCGAAAGGCGGTTTATATTTAACTGCTGATTTGTGTTTTGTTATTTATGTTCGTTGTTGCGTACGTCACCGTTAACTGAAGTTGTCCGGTGGCTCAGGAATCATATGTAGTTTTTTAGAGAACTGTTCCGTTTGTCGGGCGATTTGGTGCGGCACAGCGGTGGCGGTGTTTGTGAGGCGTATGCTGACGGTTTAGAGGCGTAGGACGGAAGTTTTTTTGGGTAGTAGAATGGGGCCAGTTGGGTTGCTTGTTTCCGTATTTGCATGAGTGGTTTCGTTAGTGGGAGGTTTGTGTGGCTGGTCTAAGTTTCCTTCGGTTGTGGGCCCGATTTATTTGTGCTGTGTCTGGTGAAAGTTCTAAGTTGAATTCGTAGCTGGCATGAAGTTAGGAAGTGGTTGCTGCCGCTGCTACTGCTGTTATTTTGGTTGTTGTTAAAACTGATTTTCCTTGAGCAGTATACTTCCGTTTGTTTAAAGGTTAAGGGTTATGTCGGACTGCAACTTTTTTATTTCAAATCTTGGAAACTATGAATTATTTGAGGCGGAAAGCTGGAAATTTTACGAATGAAGGACAAATCCGTTCGATATCTCTCCTGTTTCAAGTTTTGAATTACTGTATTTTATGCTTTCTTGGACAGTATTACAGTTGGCATTAGGATTTATTGCGTACCATAAAGTATGATGCATTTCCTCTCCGGTACTGAACTTCATTTCGAGTAGTGGTGTTTCACCATACTGGACTTCAAGTTGGTATTGGTGAATTCTACTTGAATAGAAGTAGAGAAGAACATCCCTAAACATGGGCTTATACGAAGGAACAAGTGGTGTCGAAAAAAAAAAAAAACAAGGTGATGCCGACGGCATGGGTTTTTAATGAGTGCAAAGCGTTACCGATTTTTATCGTCAGATGTGGAGTTCCCACCATTATTCAAGCAGGGGACAGGTTGTTCATGGCAGTTTTATGCGAGAGATGTGGTTCAGCGCTTGTAGGGCCCGAATTTGGCTGTATTAGATTACAGAAAGAAGTGGGAAGTTCAGGGAAGTGTATCTTGCGCACCTTTTATGAATTATCGTGCAATAGCCTAGTAAGCACGTTCTCCGCGTTGAGCATTAGTGTGGGGATCACCGTAGTCACTCAGTAGTTATTCAAGTAACGTATCAGAATCAAGTCAGTAGTAAATGGTGCATTTCCCTGCTGTTTGAACTCAAATATGCATATGCATTGTTTGTTATGAGCAAGGAGCTTCCAACAGTTAACCTGCTAAACGAGTTTAGGAGGGAAGAAGGAGAGAGGGTACTTTTTAGAAAGAGAACTTGAGAATCCATTTGAAGCAACTACAATTTCATTACATCAGTTGCCGACCATAGTCTTACTGCATTAGTAATTCCAATTGTGTTTACACAGTAAATCTACGAATTTGAGTGGTGCCTTTAGAATGCGTCAAAAGCGAAAGTTTTTTGGAAAGGACTGCGCTCAGAAAATCTAAGTTACATGAATTTCTGCAGTTTTTCGCCCAGTCGATGTTTGAAAGTGGACAGATGGAGAATACGGGTGTGTGTTTTGAGTGGTACCATTATTCACAACGTTCTTCTTAGCTTCCTCAGCTTTTTGCTTTGTATAGGCTTCTTGGTTAGACTGGTCGGCCGCTGTTTGCTACAAAAAAATGCTTTTTTCCTTGAGGTTTTTTTGAGGAAAGCAACTTTTGAAATCCGTTGTGCAGAAATTGAGCTGAGTTACAATGCAATTATACCGAACATTCGAGGCAAACTTCTAACCAAAAAGAACTGGCTCTAATGCAAGGAAAGTGCAATGGAAACTCACCTCTATTTCTTTAAGAATATCATAATCTCGAGCCACAGTGAAGTAACTGGCGATTTGGAAGGCGAATTGGAACAGTAGAAGTAAAAAGAAGCTGCAAGTAGTGACAATTCAGCTCACTTTGAATAACATTTAAGTTATCCGGACAAAAAAAGCAAAAGGAAGGCAGGAAGCTAGTAATGAGATGGCGTCGTTTTCTGAATAACGTTATGCAATTAATCCTTCATAGTTGTGAACTTTGATTAAGGCAAATGTAATATTAAAAGCACCTTAAGACACTTAAAAGAAGCGAACTTAAATAAGAAAAAAAACAGTGGAATGTAGACAATAAACCTACCGAAAACTGACGGAGCTTATGTTGGCAATCTGAAAAATAAAAAAAAAAGAACAGGATGTTTCCAGCTAGCCAGTCAACTGCAGTAACTTTTCAGTTACCTCTATAGAATGGCAATGGTTGCATAAGTAAAGTTTTTATTAGAATAATGTTAGTTTCCTTACCTCCAAATTTAATTTTTTTTACGGTCAAACCCTCAAGGTGCTCAAGATGAACAACAAGAATTTCTCCAGGTAAAGTACATCCATTCTCACGTTAGGAGGTGGCCAATCAAACTTTACAGTGTATAAACGCCTGTACAGTTTTTTAATCTCTCACTCCCATCGATATGGTTTAAGTCGACAACGGTAAAAATATAAATGGGCCATTCCACGTCAAATCGCACACTTTT